GAGAATTTCAAGGTCAGGGCGAGGATAGAGGAGCGCCCTCACCTCGGCATCACAGTGGCTTAGAGCTAGGTCAGAAGAACGTTCAATGGTACATGACAATTTCCTCCCCCCCCTCATCTTCGAGCTGCGTGCATGCTTACTCGGCTGATGACTCCGAGGAAGCCCGTGGAGATGGCCACGCCCGGCACTGCCAGCAGGAACATTTGCACCAGACATCGCTGCTCTTGCCGCACCAAGGGGAGCGTGGGGAACGTGGGTATCACAAAGGAATATACGGAAAGTGAGTTTGAAGGGGAAAAAGCGGGGAGTTGGGTATGTGGAAGATAGGGAAGGCAATCAAATGAAGGATTTCCATGCAGAGGCAGCACGAGGCGCAAGGCACGGTTGACTGACCTTGACTTGGTGGAACTCGAAGGAAAAGGCGCTCTCGAATAGCAGTGCGGGCAGAAAGACGTAGAGCACCAGCTCTGGATCAATGTTGGCCCCTGGTAGCACGCAGGTATGCAGAATTGCGTCGCAAGGTATACAGCACAAGTTTGGTTAACTGGGGAACCAGTAAGGAGATAAGGGAGTGGGGGTTTTGCAATATAAACGTCAGAAAGAAGTCAAACAGCAAGGAATTAGAACGACTGCGTGAAATGACATGCAATTGCGATGGTCAGGGTTACTGAAGCGTACACTTTCGAATGCTCTCCCCCAGCAATCCCAGGTTGACATAGTACTCTGCACAACCACCACCACGAGCAGAACCACAGGTCCACAAACGACCCGCACAGATGGAAACAACTCGTCATAAGAACTTTGTGAATGCTGATATTGCGATTCCACTTTACTCCTTCAAATGGCTCGGCACTGCCACGGTACCTAGAAAATGGCTTGTCACCGTGATCCTAAGGAATGACTCCCTGGCGTACCTAGCGCGCCGAGCCCGACGCCGACGAGCAGCAGCGCGACGGTGTACGGGATGCGCGTGTTGCTCAGCACCTGCCGGCACAGCGCGCCGAGCGCCAGCGACACGCCGATGAACACGAGCGCTACCTCGGGACCCCCGGTATGCGCCGGCTCCTGCGGCTGGGTGTCGCTGCTGGTTGTCATGATCGCTTCAAACGGTCACGCTTGAAATCACGCTAACGTAAATCGAACGGAATGCCCTGCTGGGCATGGGTTCGCCGCTAAGGAGTCAAGGAACTGATTTGTGACGTTGTTCAAATGCTCGCGTTCATTCCTGTTCCACTAGCGGAAACCGGATCTCAAGAATGCTACGGTTGAACGTCGAGAGATCGGAGCTGGAGAGTGAACGAAAGCAACGCGCGTGAAGCACGGCGTAGGAGGATGAATGTGGAAACGACAGCACCAAGTACACAGAGCACGAACTCCTCTGTGGTGAGTACGGCCAGTCGACGAACTCCGTCTGTATTGAGTACGGCCAGTCGACGAACTCCGTCTGTCCGTCTCGGCCTGTCCGTCCCAGGGAGCGATGGGGCCTTTGAAGGAATGGAAGGGATGGAAGGACGAAATGGAAGGGTCGGAGGATATGGATGGAATGGATGCAGCGGTGATTTGCACCAGGGCCAAGCCAGTTTGCGCCTTGCTGCTGCTGCTAGCTACTCAATCTTCCTCGGTGTTGCCCGCAGCTGTGCCTCCCCTGCTCGCCCCGCACAAAAGATTCTAGAGGAGATGCTCTCAAGGTTGCAGCTCCCTGAAATATCACTTCGAGATAGTGTGTACACTGTACTTCTGTACACTTTTCCCCACCAGGGTTGTATAACGGAACCCTCCTCTACTTACCCCTCAAACTGCTCTTCATCACCCAACCACCCCTCACACCTCATTCAGGAGAACAAAAATATTAGTATGTGAAGGGAGTTGACCATGCCACAAACCATTTGATAAAAAACCTACAAATACAAGACTGGGAGTGTACGAGGTTGGTGGGCAGTTCTTGGTTCGCTAGTGGGTACAGGATGCCGAATTGTTGGGTGGTTTTAGGTTAGTGGGTGCTTCCTGCTCGCCAAGGAGCTTCAGAACGTACACAGCAGATACATACAGGGATAAACCATGGCAAGTCTACACTGCATTTGCATCACATCACAAGGGCACACTCCAACACGGCAATCCATCCTATGTGCGTGTGGTACTTGTATCCGTGCCCTCCCTCTCGCCCTGCTCTTTGCCCTCCTGTGCCTCACCAGTGCTGGGCCACAGGTCACCCCACCGCACCTTGCGTGCAAACCGGTACTCCACGCGCCCCGCAGCCTTGGAGAAGAGCAGCCGCTGCAGCTCGCCGCGCCGCCCCCTGCCGTCCATTGATGCACACACGTCCACTATCACGTGCTGCCCCCGCCGCCTCGGCTCGCGAATCACGCGGCTCCACTCGGGACTCAGATTCGCAAAGCGGTCGCCACGTGGTGGGTTGTCAGTGGCTAATGTGGGATCCACTGTATCATCATCCAGGCCAGCATCATCGTTATCACCGTCATCCTCATCACTGCTGTCAGTGACAGTCCCGTCCATGTCAGATTCACCATCCCTCCTGCCCTCGATGACCCCTTCCTCTTCGTCTGGTGCACCGACAGAAGTGTGCTTCGGTCGAACGTCCGCCTCCTCTTCTTCCTCTTCATCCTCATCTTCCTCCTCTTCCTCTTCCTCCTCCTCTGCCTGCTCTCCTTCCTCACCTGCACCCTCTGCCCCTTGCCTCTCCCCTTGCAGCAGTGCACCCGCCTCTGTCCCCACTGTCCCCTCGTCCAGGGGGATGAGCCGCACTGTCGGTCCCCACTTGGCTGGTGGTGGAGGCAGCGCAGGGGCACACCGAACAGGAGTGGCGGAGAGGGGAGTGAAGGACAGAATGGGAATGGCAAGCAGCAGGCATGTGCGGGTTGCCATGGTGGATGTGTGCTGAGGCATGGGCCTCATGGATGGGGCATGGGCCTTGCTGTCCACATGGGCACCACAGACCCTGACACTTGCACCGCGAGGGCATACAGCTGCCTCAATTGTTTAACAGCTCAGCGACTCAACCCTTCCCCTCCTCACCTTGCTTCTTGGCCAGGCGCTTGGCCTCCTTCTCCGCCTCCTCCCTCGCCTGCCTCTCCTTCTCCTCCCTCCGGAACTGGGCTATCTGCTGCAATGGCGCCACCACCCTGCCAGACACAACAAGGGGAACAGGGGAGGATGGGACGTGAGGCAAGACATGCGAATGGCACCCCTGGAGCCAGTGCCAAATCGAACAAGCTTGGCATCACCTGTTTCCTTAGTAACTTACCCAGGTCACAGAGCCTCGCCCCACCCCCTCACTCGGGCCTTGCCTCGCCCCACCCACTCACTCGGGCCTTGCCTCGCCCCACCCACTCACAGGGGTCGAGGTCCCCTGCGCAGCACCACATACGAGAACTTCTCGTCCTCCGTGCTGCCCGTTATCTCCTGCCCCGCTGCCCTCTGCCGCGGGTGAAGGGGCGAGAGGGGTGGTGAGGCGAGGGAGAGCGAAAGGTATGATGATGAAGGGCGTGCCCATGCCGCAAGGATTGATGGAGGATGCAGTGCAGGGCGAGAGACAAGGGAGGAGTGAAGTGGGGAGGAGTGAAGTGGCACGGCCAAGTGGAAGGACGTGCGCCCTTGCTTGTTAGGGGCACGAGGAGAAGCACAAGAGCAGGGCACATAACAGCACGGCCGCTACCACGGCTGCCACCATACCTTGGCAATGCGCTGCACGGCTGCCACCATACCTTGGCAATGCGCTGCACGGCAGAGCGCTGCAGCGTCTGGGAGAAGTGGCACCAGCTGGTCGTGCCGTACATGGGGCAGTGCCCGTCGTGTGCACACTGGGAGGCGAGAGCGGGAGGAGGTGGGAGGCGAAGGAGTGTTTCAAGAGTGCAAGAGATGGGACGGAGGAGGTGGAAGCAAGCACAAGGAAGGGATGCTGCAGGGCCATGCGGTGGAAGCGAGAGAGCAGCAGAGGACGTGAGACGGAAGTGGGGAGAGTGGGAGCGAGTTTTGAGGGGGGGAGAGGTGGCACTTACAGGGGCGAGCACGTGAGCACCAGGCGGCAGAAGGGGTTTGGAGGGGTCCGGGGCGTTCTTTCTGGGTCCCCTATCGGCCAGTCGCGCTGCCTTCTGGATCATGTCGGAGGGGCGAGGGGGAATGGGGCGAGCAGGACGAGTGGAGGCAAGCGAGGGGCAGGGGAGGCAACACTGGAGAGTGCAGGAGAGAGCAGAGGAGGACGGAGAGCAGAAGCACACAGATGCACAAAAGGATCAACTGGGCATGAAAGGCGAGATTGGCTCGAGCAAGGGAAGCGGGACCATAGGAGTCCCTGGGGGTCGCTGGGAATCTCTGGGGGTCTCTGGGGGTGTGTGGGGGGTCGCTGCACCGCCAAATTGTACGCTGCACCACCCGCTTATACGCTGCACCGCCCGCTTACAGGCTGCACCGCCCGCTCATAAGCTGCACCGCCCGCTTATACGCTGCAGCGCCCGCTCATACGCTGCACCACCCGCTCATATACTGCACCGCCCACTTATACGCTGCACCGCCCGCTCATACGCTGCACCGCCCGCTCATACACTGCACCGCCCGCTCATACGCTGCACCGCCCGCTCATACGCTGCACCGCCCACCCATACGCTGCACCGCCCGCTCATACGCTGCACCGCCCGCTCATACACTGCACCGCACGCTCATACGCTGCACCGCACGCTCAAACGCTGCACCGCCCGCTCATACGGTGCACCGCACACTCATACGCTGCACCGCACGCTCATACGCTGCACCGCCCGCTCATACGCTGCACCGCACGCTCATACGCTGCACCGCACGCTCATACGCTGCACAGCACGCTCATATGCTGCACTGCCCGCTCATACGCTGCACCGCCCACTAATACGCTGCACCGCCCGCCCATACGCTGCACTGCCCGCTCATACGATGCACCGCACGCTCATACGCTGCACCGCACGCTCATACGCTGCACCGCCCGCCCATACGCTGCACTGCCCGCTCATACGATGCACCGCACGCTCATACGATGCACCGCACGCTCATACGCTGCACCGCCCGCTCATACGCTGCACCGCACGCTCATACGCTGCACCGCACGCTCATACGCTGCACCGCACGCTCAAACGCTGCACCGCCCGCTCATACGCTGCACCGCACGCTCATACGCTGCACCGCACGCTCATGCGCTGCACAGCACGCTCATACGCTGCACCGCCCGCACATACGCTGCACCGCCCGCTCATACGCTGCACCGCCCGCCCAAACGCTGCACCGCCCGCTCATATGCTGCTCCGCCCGCTCATACGCTGCATCCCCCGCTCATACGCTGCTGCCCCGCCCGCTCGTACGCTGCACCGCCCGCTCATACGAGGCACCGGCCGCTCATATGCTGCACCGCACGCTCATACGCTGCACCGCCCGCTCATACGCTGCACCGCACGCTCATACGCTGCACCGCACGCTCATACGCTGCACCGCACGCTCAAACGCTGCACCGCCCGATCATACGCTGCACCGCACGCTCATACGCTGCACCGCACGCTCATACGCTGCACCGCACGCTCATACGCTGCACGGCCCGCTCATACGCTGCACCGCCCGCTCATACGCTGCACCGCCCGCTCATACGCTGCTGCTCCGCGCGCTCATACGCTGCACCGCCCGCTCATACGATGCACCGCACGCTGACACGCTGCACCGCACGCTCATACGCTGCACCGCCCGCTCATACGCTGCACCGCACGCTCATACGCTGCACCGCACGCTCATACGCTGCACCACACGCTCAAACGCTGCACCGCCCGCTCATACGCTGCACCGCACGCTCATACGCTGCACTGCACGCTCACACGCTGCACCGCACGCTCATACAATGCACCGCACGCTCATACGCTGCACCCCACGCTCATACGCTGCACCGCCCGCCCATACGCTGCACCGCCCGCTCATACGCTGCACCGCCCGCTCATACGCTGCACCGCACGTTCATACGCTGCACCGCACGCTCATACGCTGCACCGCACGCTCATACGCTGCACGGCACGCTCATACGCTGCACCGCCCGCTCATACGCTGCACCGCCCGCTCATACGCTGCACCGCCCGCTCATACGCTGCACCGCCAGCTCATACGCTGCTCCGCCCGCTCATACGCTGCTCCGCCCGCTCATACGCTGCTCCGCCCGCTCATACGCTGCATCGCCCGCTCATACGCTGCTGCTCCGCCCGCTCATACGCTGCACCGCCCGCTTATACGATGCACCGCACGCTCATACGCTGCACCGCACGCTCATACGCTGCACCGCCCGCTCATACGCTGCACCGCACGCTCATACGCTGCACCGCACGCTCATACGCTGCACCGCACGCTCATACGCTGCACCGCCCGTTCATACGCTGCACCGCACGCTCATACGCTGCACCTCACGCTCATACGCTGCACGGCCCGCTCATACGCTGCACCGCACGCTCATACGCTGCACCGCCCGCTCATACGCTGCACCGCCCGCTCATACGGTGCATCGCCCGCTCATACGCTGCTGCTCCGCCCGCTCATACGCTGCACCGCCCGCTTATACGATGCACCGCACGCTCATACGCTGCACCGCACGCTCATACACTGCACCGCCCGCTCATACGCAGCACCGCACGCTCATACGCTGCACCGCACGCTCATACGCTGCACGGCACGCTCATACACTGCACCGCCCGCTCATACACTGCACCGCCCGCCCATACGCTGCACCGCCCGCCCATACGCTGCACCGCCCGCTCATACGCTGCTCCGCCCGCTCATACGCTGCACCGCACGCTCATACGCTGCACCGCCCGCTCATACGCTGCACCGCACGCTCATACGCTGCACCGCACGCTCATACGCTCATACGCTGCACCGCCCGCTCATACGCTGCACCGCACGTTCATACGATGCACCGCACGCTCATACACTGCACCGCCCGCTCATACGCTGCACCGCCCGCTCATACGCTGCACCGCACGCTCAAACGCTGCACCGCCAACTAATACGGTGGACCCCACGCTCATACGCTGCACCGCACGCTCATACACTGCACCGCCCGCTCATACGCAGCACCGCACGCTCATACGCTACACCGCACGCTCATACGCTGCACGGCACGCTCATACGCTGCACCGCACGCTCATACGCTGCACCGCACGCTCATACGCTGCACGGCACGCTCATACGCTGCACCGCACGCTCAAACGCTGCATTGCCCGCTCATACGCTGCACCGCACGCTCATACGCTGCACCGCACGCTCATACGCTGCACCGCACGCTCATACGCTGCACCGCACGCTCATACGCTGCACGGCACGCTCATACGCTGCACCGCCCGCTCATATCCTGCACCGCCCGCCCATACGCTGCACCGCCCGCTCATACGCTGCACCGCCCGCTCATACGCTGCACCGCACGTTCATACGATGCACCGCACGCTCATACACTGCACCGCCCGCTCATACGCTGCACCGCCCGCTCATACGCTGCACCGCCCGCTCATACGTTGCATCGCAAGCTCATACGCTGCGCCGCCCTCTCATACGCTGCGCCGCCCGCCCATACGCTGCGCCGCCCGCTCATACGCTGCACCGCCCGGCTCATACGCTGCACAGCCCGGCTCATACGCTGCACAGCCCGCTCTTACACTGCACAGCCTGCTCTTACGCTGCACCGCATGCTCATACGCTGCACCGCACCCTCATACGCTGCTCCGAAAGTTCATACTCTGCACCGCCCGCTCATCAATGCACCGCCCGCTCATACGCTGCACTGCCCGCTCATACGATGCACCGCCCGCCCATACGCTGCACCGCACGCTCATATGCTGCACCGCCCGCTCATACGCTGCACCGCCCGCTCATACGCTGCACCGCCCGCTCATACGCTGCACCGCACGCTCATACGCTGCACCGCCCTCTCATACGCTGCGCCGCCCTCTCATACGCTGAGCCGTCCGCTCATACGCTGCACCGCCCGCTCATACGCTGCACCGCACGTTCATACGATGCACCACACGCTCATACACTGCACCGCCCGCTCATACGCTGCACCGCCCGCTCATACGCTGCACCGCACGCTCAAACGCTGCACCGCCAACTCATACGGTGGACCGCACGCTCATACGCTGCACCGCACGCTCATACACTGCACCGCCCGCTCATACGCAGCACCGCACGCTCATACGCTACACCGCACGCTCATACGCTGCATGGCACGCTCATACGCTGCACCGCACGCTCATACGCTGCACCGCACGCTCATACGCTGCACGGCACGCTCATACGCTGCACCGCACGCTCAAACGCTGCATTGCCCGCTCATACGCTGCACCGCACGCTCATACGCTGCACCGCACGCTCATACGCTGCACCGCACGCTCATACGCTGCACCGCACGCTCATACGCTGCACGGCACGCTCATACGCTGCACCGCCCGCTCATATCCTGCACCGCCCGCCCATACGCTGCACCGCCCGCTCATACGCTGCACCGCCCGCTCATACGCTGCACCGCACGTTCATACGATGCACCGCACGCTCATACACTGCACCGCCCGCTCATACGCTGCACCGCCCGCTCATACGCTGCACCGCCCGCTCATACGTTGCATCGCAAGCTCATACGCTGCGCCGCCCTCTCATACGTTGCGCCGCCCGCTCATACGCTGCGCCGCCCGCTCATACGCTGCACCGCCCGGCTCATACGCTGCACAGCCCGGCTCATACGCTGCACAGCCCGCTCTTACACTGCACAGCCTGCTCTTACGCTGCACCGCATGCTCATACGCTGCACCGCACCCTCATACGCTGCTCCGAAAGTTCATACGCTGCACCGCCCGCTCATGCGCTGCACCGCCCGCTCATAGGCTGCACTGCCCGCTCATACGATGCACCGCCCGCCCATACGCTGCACCGCACGCTCATACGCTGCACCGCCCGCTCATACGCTGCACCGCCCGCTCATACGCTGCACCGCCCGCTCATACGCTGCACCGCACGCTCATACGCTGCACCGCCCTCTCATACGCTGCGCCGCCCTCTCATACGCTGAGCCGTCCGCTCATACGCTGCACCGCCCGCTCATACGCTGCACCGCCCGCTCATACTCTGCACCGCCCGCTCATACGCTGCACCTCACGGTCATACGCTGCACCGCACGCTCATACGCTGCACCGCCCGCTCATACGCTGCACCGTCCGCTCATACGCTGCACCGCCCACTCATACGCTGCACCGCACGCTCATACGCTGCACCGCCCGCTCATATGCTGCACCGCCCGGCTCATACGCTGCACCGTCCGCTCATACGCTGCACCGCACGCTCTTACAATGCACCGCCCGCTCATACGCTGCACCGCCCGCTCATACGCTGCACCGCCCGCTCATACGCTGCACCGCCCGCTCATACGCTGCACCGCCTGCTCATACGCTGCACCGCCCGCTCATACGCTGCACCGCCCGCTCATACGCTGCACTGCCGGCTCATACGCTGCACCGCCCGCTCATACGCTGCACCGCCCGCTCATACGCTGCACCGCCCGCTCATACGCTGCACCGCACGCTCATACGCTGCACCGCACGCTCATACGCTGCACCGCCCGCTCATACGCTGCACCGCCCGCTCATACGCTGCACCGCCCGCTCATACGCTGCAGCGCACGCTCATACGCTGCACCGCCCGCTCATACGCTGCACCGCCCGCTCATACGCTGCACCGCACGCTCATACGCTGCTCCGCCCGCTCATACTATGCACCGTCCGCTCATACGATGCACCGCCCGCTCATACGCTGCACCGCCCGCTCATACGCTGCACCGCCCGCTCATACGCTGCACCGCCCGCTCATACGCTGCACCGCCCGCTCATACACTGCACCGCCCGCTCATACGCTGCACCGCCCGCTCATACGCTGCACCGCCCGCTCATACGCTGCATCGCCCTCTCATACGCTGCACCGCACGCTCATACGCTGCACCGCCCGCTCATACGCTGCACCGCCCGCTCATACGCTGCACCGCCCGCTCATACACTGCACCGCCCGCTCATACGCTGCACCGCCCGCTCATACGCTGCACCGCCCGCTCATACGCTGCATCGCCCTCTCATACGCTGCACCGCACGCTCATACGCTGCACCGCCCGCTCATACGCTGCACCGCCCGCTCATACGCTGCACCGCCCGCTCATACGCTGCACCGCCCGCTCATACGCTGCACCGCCCGCTCATACGCTGCACTGCCCGCTCATACGCTGCACCGCCCGCTCATACGCTGCACCGCCCGCTCATACGCTGCACCGCCCGCTCATACGCTGCACCGTACGCTCATACGCTGCACCGCCCGCTCATACGCTGCACCGCCCGCTCATACGCTGCACCGCCCGCTCATACGCTGCGCCGCCCGCTCATACGCTGCACCGCCCGCTCATACGCTGCACCGCCCGCTCATACGCTGCACTGCCCGCTTATACGCTGCACCGCCAGCTCATACGCTGCACCGCCAGAGAGAAACGGGCGTCGTATGGTTCATGTGCTCACCGCTCTCTGTGTGTGCAGTATGTGCGCCCTGGCCTTGGCTATGGCCTCATAACCGCGTGGGTTGCCTGTCTCCACCAGCACCTGTGCTCCCACACACGCACAGGTGGGAGACGTGAAGCGAGGAGAAGGCATGAGAAGAGATGAGACAAAGTAGGGAGGACGATGCGGTTGGAGAGGCAGGCAGGCGCATGCATCCCATACCATAGTACCACATCACCACATGCCATCACAACATCACATCACATACCATCACTTATCATCATATACCATCACTTACCATCACATATCATCACTTACCATCACATGCCATCACATGCCATCACATGCGACCATATGCCATCACATTCAAAAACACCATGACATACCATGACATGGCGTGCATGGCTCCAGAGGCGGTCCACAATGGCGCGCCTCTCATCCACTGAGTCCACCTCGCCCAGCGCATACGCCTGCCGCATGGGAGAGCAGGGGTAGTGTGGTGAGAAAGGGAGGGCGGGGGATGGTGCGAGAGACATGCGGTTCGAAAGGAGTGATGCTGCAGCCAGGCAGGCATGGCAGCACAGAACCACACACCACCTCTCCCCACACTTCATCGGTAGCCACCCCTCACCCCCACCCCTGCCCTCTTCCCCCCCCCTCTCACCGCCACCACAACGTCAAACACCCTGTCGGCCCCGCGTGCCTCCCTTGACAGGTGCTGCAGACTGGTGTACCGAACAGCATCGCGCAGCGCACGTGGGGGCCTGGGACCCGCTGCTGCCACTGGTTGGGGAGACAGGGCGAGGGGGGATGCGGTGGGGAGCGGAAGGGAGGAGGGGAAAGGGAGGGCAGGGGGGATGGGGAAAGAAAGTCAAGGAGGGAGGTGCAGGCAAAATTGACATTGAATATGAGTAATCAAGGAATCGCTGCTGTGAGTGCATTAATGGTAAAAAACACTACAGAAGGTGAACAATCAACAATGATATATTAATATATTTCCTTAGGCAGCAAAAGCGTATCATGCATACGCTCCTCCCCACGATCTCCACGCTCCTTCAACACAGCGGAAGGCCAGCGTGTAGTGGCACTGTGGTAGTCTGGCAGGCAAGGCAGGCGTGTGGATGGACTGTGGGCAGTATGGCTGGCGAAAGGCACGGCAATGGTGCATCCAGGAAAGGCACGGCACTGGTCCAACTCCCTAACCGCACTCTCACAGTCCCGCCCACTTGCATCCATGTCACCCACACCCCTCACCTGCCCTCACCGGCCCTCACCTGCCCTCACCTCTCACAGCTCACCAGCTCTGATGCGCTCCCCCATGGCCCACATGGCATCAGCGGGCTCCACTGCTGCTGCCCGCTGCACCGTGCTGCCCCACACCTCGCTCGCCACCCTGCACGCACAAGGTGAGGGCGGAGTGAGGGGCAGCATATATAGCACCGCACAGAAGCAAAGCACAGCAGATACAGCAGTGTTTAAGGTGGGTGTGGCAAGCGGGAATGATTAGTGTGGGCTGCACCCCTGAGCATGAGCAGGTGCCTGCCAGGTGGGCGGACTTCAAAGCACAACAGTGCATCTCACCATATCACGGCACACCCCACCGCATCTCACCGCATCTCACCACATCACGGTGCCAGGCCCGGATCCGAAGTCCAGCAGGGAGGAGGGCGAGAGTGAGGGCAGTCGTCGCTTCACCTGCCGCCAGTGGGGGTATGGGCAGGAGGGGTGGGCGCAGCAAGAGGGAGGGGCAGAGGCGGGAAGGATAGAATGAGGGGTGAAGGAAGAAAGGAGGGAATACAACACGGTGGAGTAAGGTCTGTGTAGGACGCAAAGGGTTGGGTGGCGCTGTTGGTGTGCCAGCCAGGCACAGCGGGTGAGAGAACACCCAATAAACCGCCCCTCCTCTCCCCGATACGCACAGCCCAAGCTCCCCACCTCAGTGAGAGCGCGGAACACGGCGGCATAGGTGGAGGGCATGCGCGCAGCCGCGTATGCCAGGGCCTCCGTCTCCCCATACTCCACTGCGCGCCTCCCCCCCTCCCCCCGCTCCCGCGCCCCCCCTTTCCCCCTCTCCGCCGCTTCCCCCGCGCCCCCTTCCCCGCCCTCCTCCGTGCCCTTCCCCCACGAGTTCTTCTCCCATCCGCGCAGCAGTCGCACCATCCGCGCGTCCGGAATGCGCCCCACGTCCATTTCGCGCATCAGCGGCGGCTCCCGCGTGTCGTCCGCCAGGCGCTCCGCGGACGGCTGCGGCCACCCGCTGAAGAACGCGTCGTACGCAGACATCAGCCGGCGCACGTCGCGGTGCACGTGCGCGGAACTGGTTGCGCCTGGGGGGCCGGCGGAAGCGATGAGGGAAGAGGGGTGGGGAGAAAGGGGGGCCCAGCTGAACTAAATCTGGAAGGCGTTGGGGGGGCGGGAGGGCGAGAAGGCGGATGCTTTCTGCGGAAAAAAAGCGCCAGGAGAGGGCGGATCGTGACGTCATAAGAGCGTGTGCACGAACTGGACAGAAACTACCTTCCGCGACGATGGCTTTAATCGACTGCTGCAGCGCGTTCGGCAGGCAGACCTGCCCGATCTCCACCAAGCCTCGGTTCCGAAGCACACGTTCGGGCTGCCGAGCCACAGCCAGCTGCTGCGCCTCCAGCAGCCCCGGCATCAGCATCGGCCCCTTCCGCTTCTTCCACGCCGCGCGCGTTGCGCGGAACGCGCCGCCCCACGCGGCCATTCCGCCTACCGCCCTCCCCGAACCCTGCTTCGAGGATCCTACAAACTGTCGGATCGCGTGTTTACTTTCTGTCTATTGGATGCAAAAGGCGGCTGGAGCTCGATTTAAAGGCTGGTCTCTTTCAAGGATTTTTTGCGATACTGGTAACCTCGATAATGCATTGGGTGCTTCGTAGATAAACAACACATTTTTTAAATGAAATGATATTATAACCTTATGTACACAGATGACAGTAATAAGAGCAACCGACACCGCGTAACTGAGCAGAGCGCTATTTACATCATCCATAAGCCACAGAAACAAAGCCATTCACAATTACTTTCGAGAGAAAAACCAAAGAATAACCCTAGCAGAGAATCACATAAAAATATTTCAGAATCAGGACTGGCCTGCCTTGGCTCGCAGCAGGGTTTCCACGACGCGGCTCATCTTATCCCAGGCGATGGGCTTGCTGAGGAAGCCGTCCATCCCCGCCGCCTCTATCTCCGGCGCCAATACGTCCGCCGTCAACGCGTACACCGGGACTCGCGCCTCCTTTCCTGGCAGCTTCCTGATCTCACGCGTGGCTGTCAAGCCATCCTGCAGGGTTGGTGATGTAGGGTACATAGGGGAGGAGTGGGGAGAGGATGGCAGATGAGTGACGTGCCCCGCAACAACAATGTCGCAAGCATAACACATGGGGCTCACGCATGTGGCACGTGTATCTTTTCATGCACCAATCACGTACATGTGATGGTGTATGCGACCTGACTCACCATGATGGGCATCTGAATATCCATGAGAACAAGGTCGAATGGCTTTGCTTGCACCGCCTCCACTGCCAGCCGCCCGTTGAGCACCAGTGTCACCTGCCATGCCATGCCATGCCATGCCATGCCAGGGAGAGTGCCGTTGCGATGTGGCAGAACAGCAACACCAGCATATTAAATGATGCAAGTCGACCCTAGAAAGCTCTACAATACTGGAGCCACATCGATTGGCCTCCCCTTAAAGGTCTCAGGTCTCCCGACAGTGATTCCTAGAGCGCAAGCCATCCAGCAGCCCTCGTGCATAGCGCTGCACCCCTCAAGCTCATGTCGTGCCTGGCTCACCTCGTGCCCATAGTGCTGCAGCATCTTGCGGATGAGCATCTGGTTCACTCTGTTGTCCTCCGCCACCAACACCCGCAACTTGCTGCCGCCTCCCCCTCCCCCCTCTCCACCCGCCGCATCCCCTCCTTCTGCTGCAGCCGCACCCGCGCCACTCACTGCACCTCTTGCTCCTGCTGTTCCCTCGTCTGCCCGTTTCCCTGCATCCACCTCCTTGCCCGCTGCTCCACCTCCTGCCTTCTCTCCCTCCCTGCTCTGTGTCTGCGGCCCTGCCTCTCCACCCTTTCCAACAGCAGAAGCAGCGGCAGCAGCAGCAGAAGCAGAAGCAGCAGCGGCGGCGGCCTGCTTCTGCTGCTTCAGCTTGGCGTTTTTAGCGTGCAGCAGAGAGTGCACGACGTGGCTCATCTTGTCCCAGGCGATGGGCTTGCTGAGGAAGCCGTCCATCCCCGCCGCCTCTATCTCCGGCGCCAACACGTCCGCCGTCAGCGCGTACACTGGTATGCGCGCCTCCTTTCCTGGCAGCTTTCTGATCTCGCGTGTGGCACTCAGCCCATCCTGGGGAGGCAGAGGGCGGGGAGGCTTGAAAAAGATGGTTGACGCAGAAAGGAGTGGAGAAACAGTGCAGCAGGCAGAAGCCGGAATGTAGACAAGAAGGGAAGTCCTGGAGCGAGAGGAGTGTACGCACGAGCATGACATGGCTCACCAGCATGACATGGCTCACCAGCATGACATGGCTCACCAGCATGACATGGCTCACCAGCATGACATGGCTCACCAGCATGACATGGCTCACCAGCATGACATGGCTCACCAGCACAGGCATCTGCAAGTCCATGAGCACGAGGTCGAAGCTCTCTTTCTGCACCGCGTCCACGGCCAGGCGCCCATTGCCCACCACCGTGACGTCGTGCCCGTAGTGCTTGAGCAGGCGGCGGATGAGCAGCTGATTCACCTTGTTGTCCTCCGCTACCAACACCCGCAGGCTCTTGCACTCCTCCTCTTCCTCTTCCTCCTCCTCGCCTTCCTCCCCCTCCTCCCCCTCCACCTTCCTTTTCTCTTCCCGTTTCCCTTCTCTTCCACCCCCCTCGGCCCCCTCCACCTCCATTTTCGTCGACAGCGTTTGCCTATCCCCCTCCTCACCCTCCTTACCCCCCTGCCCTCCGGCCAGGCAAGGCGAGGGGGAGCGCCGGCCTGTCCCCAGGGGGGAGGCAGGGGGCCCACCCTTGGCGGATGGGGGGAAGGGGGCGGACGCGGGGAGGAGGGGGATGAGGGCGAAGGCCTGGGTGCCTTTGGACGGCTGGGATTTGATCCAGAGGCGTCCGCCCATCAGCGCCAGCAGCCCGTGGCTGATGGCCAGGCCCAATCCCGTGCCGCCCACTCCCCTGCGCACACGGGGAGAGAGAGGGGGGAAATGGAGCGGGTAAGGGGTGGAAGGTTGGAGAATGCAGAGCAGATGAGGGGGCGAACAAGGGGAGGGGGTGATGGACAATAGAGAGAAGCTCAAGTGTTGACCTCAACCTGCCTTCACACCACCCCACACATTCCTCACTCACCCCCTCTGCGCGCCCGCCTGAGCCATGAAGAGCACCTGCTGCACCTCGTCCTCCGCCATGCCCTCCCCCTCATCCGCCACACACACCTCGTACCACACCCGCTCCCGCTCCTTGCCCACCTCCCCCTTTCCCTCCCCCTCTCCTTCCTTCTCCTCTCCCTCCTTGGCCAACCCCACTTGCTCCTCCTCGTTCTTATCTTCTTCCTCCTCCATCTCCTCCTCCTCTTCTTCGCTCCCCTCCTCCACCTCAGCCCCTCCACACCCCATCTCACCACCCTCCTTTCCTCCCATGCTCCCCCCAGTGTCTCCCCTTGCACTGCCGGAACACCCCCCATCACCCACAGCAGCCACCACCTCCCCTATAGTCACAACCGTCTCTGCTCCCCCGCTACTAGCACCCCCACTGTAACCCCCCCGAGCAGAATCCCCTTCCCGATGCTCCCCCCAGCCTGAATCACCCCCCTCATGACCTTCACTCTCCTGCTTTCCCCCCTCGTTCCCCCGAACCCAAGCCACACTCCCCCCATCCCCCCTCTGCCCCCGTCTCCCCTGCTCTGCCACACCAGCGGAAGCATGTCTCCTGAGTGCCCGCTCCCGCTGCTGCACGCTCCTCCCCATGCGCCCCACCACCTCATCCGTCCCTGCCCGCCCCGTACTGCGCCTCCTCACCACCCCCCCGCCCCCCTCCCCTCGCGCCCCACCCCCTCGCCGCACAATCACGTCCCCTGAACCCCCGCGCAGCAACCCAGCGCCCCCCAGCCCCTCACACACGCCCGTGCCTACAAGCACGGACCCGTCCTGTACAACGCTGTCCGTTACAGTCACGTCCTCAAAGCCGTGCAGGCGGCCCACCGGCTGCTGCAGAGAGCGCAGCCACTGCTGTGCCTCTGAGCTCGCCCGCACACTCACCCTCCCCACGTCCTCCTCCCCCGCTGCTCGACCGCCCTGCCACACCACGCGCTGCCGCGGGCTGGCTGGCGGGCGGAGAGAGGGGAGGGACGGGGAGGCGGGAGTGGGTGTGGGAGGGATTGCAGGGGTGCTGGGGGTGAGGTAAGTGGTGGGGGCAGGTGCTGCTGCTGTAGCAGCGGCGGCTGTAGCAGCGGCGGCTGTAGCAGGAGTGGTGGTGGCTGCAGCTGTAGCAGGTGCAGGGAGTATATCCCCACACAGCATCTCCACGTCAGCTGCCACGTCAGAGCCTGGGCCGTCATCCAACACGACAATATCCGCCACGTCAGCAGACACGCTGCTGCACCCGGAGGGTCTGAGAGGCCCGGAAACCGGCATGAAAGGTTCACCCAGCAGCATTGCCACGTCAGCAGCCGATTCAAACACTCCTGCACCGTCCCCCTCTCCCACTCCTGCTCTCTCTCCCCCCATGCCTCCCCCCATGCCTCCCCCTCCCCCTGCTCGTGCGCTCACTGCCCCCCCATCACACTCACCCATCCACTCCATCCGCCCTCCTGCCCCGCTCCCACTGCCCCAACTCGCACTTCTGACGCTCTGCCCCAAGCTCCCCCCCATACTCAGGCTCGGCGCCGAACCTACACCCAACCCCAAGCCTGCTTCCATCGCCGAGCCTGCAGGCCCGTGCGTCTCCTGACCAGCTGTCAGCCGCCCTCCAGCCGCACTGCCAGCAACATTTTCTAAGCCCAGCGGCCCACTTGTAGCGCCCGCACAGGCAGCAGCAGCTGCAGCAGCGGCAGGCCCCCTGGGCAGAACACTGCCTGCTGCTGACGCCGACTCGAAGCTGGCCAGGTAGGGCGAGGGCATGGAAGCAAGGTGCGGGGGGAGGGAGGCGAGGTTCGGAGGGAGGGAGGGCGCAGAGTGCAGGGCAGAGCAAGGGGCGGAGCGAGGTGCGGGTTGCAGCAGTCGGGTGAGGTCAGCAGAGCCGGAGCCCCCCGAGGTGCCGTGCAGGCGCGTGACCCGCGTGCCGTGACTGACATCCGCTGATAGCCGCCTTGCCAGCACCCGCGGTTGCTCCTGCCCTGCTGCTGCTGCTGCTGCTGCTGCTGGCCCTGCGTGCCCGCTGCTGCTGCGCACGGGACTGGAGGGGAAGCCACCGGAGGATGTGCCTTGATGCTGTGCTGAGGGCGCAGAGGATACGTTTCCTTCCTGCCCTGCAGAAACGCTTCGGGGCACTCGCACTCCCTGCCCGCCTGCCCCCCCCCACCCTCCACTCGCTGCCTGCTTGCCCCGACCCTGCCTCGCTCCCTCGCTAGACCCCTCCCTGCTTTCCCCCCGCCCTCTCTTCCCCCTCCCCCACATCCGCCCCCGCTTGCTCTCCCCCCATCTCCCCCCATCCACCCCTTTCCCCTCTACCCCACTGCTGCTACCAGGGGAGATCAGCGCCCCTGTTAGCCCCGCTACCCCCCCAGCCTCTACTGCCCCTGCTGCCCCTGCAGTCGCTGCTGCCCCTCCTGACCCTCCTGCCCCTGCTGCCTCCGCAGTCTCTGGTGTGTCTGCAGCAGCAGTGCTATCGTCTGCACGAACAGTCAGCGAGGCAGCAAGCGAGTGTGAGTGTGACTGTATCAAGCGACTGCCCGACTCCATCAGGCTCCTGCCTTCCCCCTCCTGCCCCAACTCCTGAGTCCCCTCCTGCCCCAACTCCTGAGTCCCCTCCTGCCCCTCCCCCTCCTCCCCCTTCTCTCCCTCCTCCCCCGTCTGCCCCTCTCCCCTTGTCTCCGCTTCCACCTCCCCACTCTCTGTGCATTCCAGCTCCGCACCATCATTGTAACCAGAGGCAGAAGGGTCGGATGCAAAGGGGTCTGACACAGAGGGGTCCGGCACAATGCGCCAGGAGACGGTGATGGTTCCGCGCTTGGAAAACTTGACTGCGTTGCTCACCAGATTCGCCACCACCTGCCGTGTGCGTGTGCGTGGGCGGGGAGGGAGGGCGGAGAGGGCGGAGGGGAGAGAGGGGAAACAGTGAGGAGTGTGGAGCGGATGGGATGTGGAGGAGTGTGGAGCGGATGGGCTGCACTGCAGAGGAGGGGTGAAATCAGCAGCGGGTTCTTGCAAAGATGCACGGATGCAGAAATGGATGTGAGCGCCGACTGCAACAAATCATGTGCTTCGCTGTTCCCTTCATTCATCTCCCTAGCAGCCTTCACCTGCACGCCCAACCCACCTGCTTGACGCGCACAGGGTCGCCACAGACGTAGAGAGCATCGGGGGGCGGTGGGTGGATGAGCAGACGCATGCCCTTGTCCTGCACCGCCTGCTCGAACAGCACCACCACCTGCATGCATGGGATGGGATGTGGGAGAGAAGTGCGAGCAGGTGAGGTACGAGACTTAGGGGACTCAGGGCAACCAGACTTAGGGGACTCAGGGCAACCAGACTTAGGGGACTCAGGGCAACCAGACTTAGGGGACTCAGGGCAACCAGACTTAGGGGACTCAGGGCAACCAGACTTAGGGGACTCAGGGCAACCAGACTTAGGGGACTCAGGGCAACCAGACTTAGGGGACTCAGGGCAACCAGACTTAGGGGACTCAGGGCAACCAGACTTAGGGGACTCAGGGCAACCAGACTTAGGGGACTCAGGGCAACCAGACTTAGGGGACTCAGGGCAACCAGACTTAGGGGACTCAGGGCAACCAGACTTAGGGGACTCAGGGCAACCAGACTTAGGGGACTCAGGGCAACCAGACTTAGGGGACTCAGGGCAACCAGACTTAGGGGACTCAGGGCAACCAGACTTAGGGGACTCAGGGCAACCAGACTTAGGGGACTCAGGGCAACCAGACTTAGGGGACTCAGGGCAACCAGACTTAGGGGACTCAGGGCAACCAGACTTAGGGGACTCAGGGCAACCAGACTTAGGGGACTCAGGGCAACCAGACTTAGGGGACTCAGGGCAACCAGACTTAGGGGACTCAGGGCAACCAGACTTAGGGGACTCAGGGCAACCAGACTTAGGGGACTCAGGGCAACCAGACTTAGGGGACTCAGGGCAACCAGACTTAGGGGACTCAGGGCAACCAGACTTAGGGGACTCAGGGCAATCAGACGCATGCCCTTGCACTGCACTGCCGGTACAGAACCCACCGCCACCTGCATCCAGAGACGCAGCTGGGCGGGAGAGGAACGCAGCCGGGTGGGGGAGGAACGCAGCCGGGTGGGGGAGGAACGCAGTTGGGTGGAGGAGGAACGCAGTTGGGCGGGGGAGGAACGCAGCCGGGTGGCGGAGGAACGCAGTTGGGTGGGGGAGGAACGCAGCCGGGTGGGGGAGGAACGCAGTTGGGTGGGGGAGGAACGCAGTTGGGTGGGGAAGGAACGCAGCTGGGTGGGGGAGGAACGCAGTCGGGTGGGGGAAGAACGCAGCTGGGTGGGGGAGGAACGCAGCCGGGTGGGGGAGGAACGCATCCGGGTGGGGGAGGAACGCAGTTGGGTGGGGGAGGAACGCAGCCGGGTGGGGGAAGAACGCAGCCGGGTGGGGGAGGAACGCCGCTGGGTATCCTCGGGTGATATCCTCGGGTGGATATCCTCGGGTGGATATCCTCGTGTGGATATCCTCGGGTGGATATCCTCGTGTGGATATCCTCGGGTGGATATCCAGCAGTCAAGGATGTTGTTCAGCACCGTCATCAGCCCGTGTGGTGGTTAGAACATGGCACCTGACTACTCTTGAGACGTCTCACACGCCAGCAGGCACGCACATGGTCCAGGAGGGCTGAAATGCTGAAGTCAATGGATTCGAGCAGCAGCCTGCCCGCCTCCATCTTGCAGAAGTCAAGGATGTTGTTCAGCACCGTCGTCAGCCCGTCCGCCGATGCTTGAGACGACTCATACAACACGTGGAGTGACTCGAGCAGGCACGTACCTGGTCCAACAGGGTTGAAATGCTGAAGTCGATGGACTCCAGCAGCAGTCTGCCCGCCTCCATCTTGCAGAAGTCAAGGATGTTGTTCAGCACCGTCATCAGCCCGTCTGCCGATGCCTGCATGAGCTTCAGCACCCCGTGCTGCTCCTCACTCATCTCCGTCAGCCGCAGTAGGTCCAACATGCCCAGCACGCCTGCGGTGGTGGGAGGTGGTGGGTGTTGGTGGGGGGAGGTGAGCGAGGGTGGTGGGTGTTGGGACGTATCAAAGCTGCTCCTCATTCATCTCCGTTAACCGCAGTAAGTCCAGCATGCCCAGCACGCCTGCGGTGGTTGGGGTTGGTTGAGGGGGCGGGTGCGGTGGTGAGAAGAAGGTTAACAGCGATGCCTTGCCACAGCCACACCCACCCACTGACTTACGCCCACACATCCATACCCACTCACTCTCACCCAACCACACTATCTTCAACTCCCACACACCCACCAGTCATTGGCGTCCTGAGCTCGTGGCTCATGGTAGCAAGGAACTGCGACTTGGCGCGGTTGGCGGCGGCAATGGCTTGCCTCGCGCGGCGGTCGGCAGTGACGTCTTCAAAGAGCCACAGGCGGCCGTGCGCGGAGGTGGTGTGTGCTGCCACGGGGTACGAGTGCACGCGCAGCACCATGGGCGGGTCGCGCAGCTCCCACTCCTCCTCTATCTCTGTCTCTACCGCCCCCGCCACCATGCTGAACCACCTGTGGGGAAAAGTGTTGGAGGTGGAGTGGAGGGATGGGGAGCGACGCAGTTTGAGGGGAAAGGGGTGGGTACGAGAGAGGCAAGTTGGTATTGACTAACTTGCAGCGCAAGGGGGAAAGGGACTGGATGGTCTGCAAGAAAAAGTACTCCAATCCAAAAGGAGAGGAGGAGAGGAGGATGCTGGAGGGTCTGTGGTGCCGTGACTCGCCTGTGCAGGTCGGGGCGGTTACCGCTCCTCTCGGCCAGCTGGCGCATGGCAGTTGCGACCTTCACCGGGTCCACCTCCCCGAAGCATGGCAGATCCAGCAGGTCGGCTGCTGCTGGGTTCACCACCACCTGGGGCGAGCGGGGGAGGGGCGGCAGTGAGGAGGGAAGGGGCAGTGGAGGAAAGTCTTTTGAGGCGCTTCAAAAGTCGTCTCTAAAGTCTTCATAGGGTCCACCTCCCCGAAGCACGGCAGATCCAACAGGTCGGCTGCTGCTGGGTTCACCGCCACCTGGGGGTGACGGGGAGGGAACGAGAAAGAGAGATGGCGGAGGGTGGCAGGGAGGAGCGATGGAGGGAAGTGCGCGCACGAGAAAGGGCATCTCCATGCATGGGCATGAGCTCCGGCATGCACACAAACTGAATGGGCACACTTGCACCCACCCACCTGAGCGAGCTCGTCGTCCACGAACACAACGGCCTGTGGCATGCGCTTCAGGATGGCGTCAAACTGCTGCCCCAGCCGGGCTGACTGGCGCAGAGACTGGCACGCACAGCACAGGCATGCACAGGGTTGGTGCACACAGAGCGAGCACACATGCACACCACCCACCTGAGCCAGCTCGTCGTCCACAAAAACCACAGCTTGAGGCATGCGCTTGAGGATGGCGTCAAACTGCTGCCCCAGGCGCGCTGACTGGCGCGCGGAGATGCGGTTGGCCATGAGCAGCGGCATGGTGTGCGCCGCCCGCCCCATCACCTCCTCCACTGTTGGGGGCACCTTGGCCGGGTCGCTCCACAGCGCGTACAGCACACCCCGGTAGCTGCTCGTGGGGGAAGGGGGGGTTGGGGGAGGGAGGAGGAGAGAGGGGGGTTCACTTTTGAGGCATCTCAGAAAGCACCTTGGCAGGGTCGGTCCACAGTGCATGGAAGCAGGAAGCAGGAGTGAAGGGCAGCGCAGAGTGAGTGAGGGTACAAAGGCCAGCAAGGGAGGTTCCCGACCCAATGAACTTTTGTGAGACACAGCAATGCGACGCACTCACGTGTGCAGCGCAAAGGTAGTTACCCATACACGCACGCACCTGTGCAGGCGCACGAATCGGCCCATGAAGCGGCGGGGGCGGCAGCCCAGCACGTCCTCGATGACCGCTGGCAGATACAGCCCCGCCGTGCTCACCACCTGGGAAGGTGGAGGGGGGAGGGATGCACGCATGGGAAGGCATTGGAAGAGGGTGGCGGAATGAACGCAGGGGGGAAGACGGGGCTATGGGGAGAGAATGGACGCAGGGGGTGGGGGCATGGGAAGCATGATCACCTTGTGTCGCTTGCACGCCTTCATCATTACCTTGTGTCGCTTGCACGCCTTCATCATTACCTTGTGTCGCTTGCACGCCTTCATCATTACCTTGTGTCGCTTGCACGCCTTCATCATTACCTTGTGTCGCTTGCACGCCTTCATCATTACCTTGTGTCGCTTGCACGCCTTCATCATTACCTTGTGTCGCTTGCACGCCTTCATCATTACCTTGTGTCGCTTGCACGCCTTCATCATTACCTTGTGTCGCTTGCACGCCTTCATCATTACCTTGTGTCGCTTGCACGCCTTCATCATTACCTTGTGTCGCTTGCACGCCTTCATCATTACCTTGTGTCGCTTGCACGCCTTCATCATTACCTCGTGTCGCTTGCACGCCTTCATCATTACCTGGTGTCGCTTGCATGCCTTCATCATTACCTTGTGTCGCTTGCATGCCTTCATCATTACCTTGTGTCGCTTGCATGCCTTCATCATGCGCCTACAAAAGGGAACCATCTCCGGCACAACCCCCTTGGGCGTCGATAGGATCGACTCCGCCACCCGCACCACCTCCATTTCGCCCCCGCTCCCCCTCCCGCTCCCCCTCCCCCCTCCCCTTCCGCCTCCCTCGTCTCGGCTGTCACATCTCCCAGCGCCCTCTTCCCCGCCTCTTCCGCCGCCACGGAACCCCGCTCCACTGCGCCTCCCCATGCCCTCCCGGCTGCAGAACCCTCCGCTTTCCCCGTACCCACTAACATCCCCTCCGCTACTGGCGCATGCGCCAAACTCCCCGGACCTGTCCGCGCTGGCTTCCGCGCCAAGAGAATGCGCGCCGAAGGCGGGCACAACAGGGGAGAAAGCAGCGCCGGGGAAGAGAGGCGGAGGGGCGGGGGGAGCGCCTGCAGCAGCCGCGGCTTCGTCCGCCGCCTGCGCCATATCCGCGACAGTGGGGCCTGGCGGAGGCAATAGAACCGCCATGACGACCACGTCAGCTTCTAGTGACGTGGCAATGACCTGGAGGACGGTCTGCGGGAGATGGACCGACGCGCTCCCGGGACTCCCGGACGGAGAATCGACTCCTAGAAGTTGCCGAACTGGCCTGCGCGACACGCCGTCTCCGTCGAGCATGTCCGCGTCAGCGCGGTCCACGCCATCGTCCTCGCGCGTGACAAGGCTAAGAAAATCCCCCTCCGCGGGACGAGGCTCGTCGTCGCCTTCCGCCGGCAGGTTGACGTGGCTCCAGCCGGCCAGAGGGCCCGGCACGCCGAGCGTGGCCTCGAGATTCGCGCCGATGTCGCCGGCTAAGATGCCGGCTCCGTACGACAGCAGTGACGCCATGAGCAGCGATGGTCGCGAGCGATTAATATATGCGCAGGCGAGCTAACGATGCGACGCTCGCGCAAGCTTGCGCTTTTCAAAGGCGGATAGCCGTCAACGACGGGCGAGAAACGACAGCATTCTGCGCGGCAGGACTGTAAGGGCGTGTAAGATCCCCGTGTACACACTTTGGCTGAATTTTGTCGACCATTTTGGTCGACCAATTGTTTCGCTAAAGTCGACAGGCTGGCCCTTTACCAGTCGACTCAATTTCAGCCTCGGTGTAGTGGCCTGCAAATCTGACAGGTCAGCTTGCGGATTTGCTGGCCGTTGTACAGAAGATGTGTCAACTTTCGTTTTGTCCTGGTGGACGATTGCAACGACAGAGTCGCTCACACACCTGCAACGACGCGCATTCAGTCGCCCAGCTGAGTCTACGACGTCGCCATCTACATTTGTCGCCAGAAGTCGACATTGTGGACGTAGTCGAGTCCTGCAACATCGCGTACAGCAGCAGCCGTTGTTCGCCCGTTACTGCTAACGGGGCTTCGCCGAATTCGCGCGCACTGTTTTCCCAAACCTCGCACTGCTGGACCGGCCGTGTCGGCCTAGGCTTCGAGACTAGCCCGAGCCTAGCTTCCAGCGTAGCACTAGCTAGCTCGCACGCACCGCGTTACTGTTTGCATGTTTTGTCAAACATTATATATGTTATACTTGTGTAGGCTACAGTGGGTTAGCCTATAGGGGGTACACAATTCTAGGGTTTACTACTTGTACTCTTTTCACTTCTAGTTCATCATTCCTGTTCGCTTATTCTCACATGGTATAGAGCGGGTCCTTCTACGGACCGTTTTTTGGGCCCACCGAAGCGCCCCCCGAGGCGCGATCTTTTTTTTTAGCGACCCCTCGGGTCGCCATTTCCCCTGCGGCCCCGCCGCCCTCACTGACGCGGCCCCGCCGCCCTCTCTGTCGCGGCCCTGCCGCCTGCTCTCACGCGGCCCCGCCCCGGCTCCTTCGCGGCCCCGCCGCCTGCTCTCGCGCGGCCCCGCCCCGGCTTCTACGCGGCCCCGCCCCGGCCTTCACGCGGCCCCGCCGACGGCTTTGTCGCGGCCCCGCCCAGGCCCTTACGCGGCTCCGCCGCCTGCTCTCACGCGGCCCCGCCCCGGCTCCTTCGCGGCCCCGCCGCCTGCTCTCGCGCGGCCCCGCCCCGGCTTCTACGCGGCCCCGCCCCGGCCTTCACGCGGCCCCGCCGACGGCTCTGTCGCGGCCCCGCCCAGGCCCTTACGCGGCCCCGCCGCCTGCCCCAGTCGCGGCCCGGTCACCTCCTGACGGCCCCGCCGTCCCTTCGTGACGGCCCCGCCGTCCCTTCCTGACGGCCCCGCCGTCCCCTCCTGACGGCTCCTGCCGTCCCCTTCTACCGGCCCCGCAACTGCACCTGCTGGCCCCGCCGCTGCACCTACCGGCCCCCCACCACCCACCCCCCCCTTTTTCCCGTCGCCTGTCGAGGCGACCTAAGGGGACCTGAGAGGCCAGCTGAGGGGTGGCAGGTGTGTGGCCTCCCCTGCTTCTCCTCCTCCTTCATCTCCCGCTGCAGCAGCCGAGCCGCTCACCTGCAGCAGCCGAGCCGCCCCACAGCCGAGCCGCCCTGCCGCCGAGCCGCCGGGTCGCTGAGCTGCTGAGCTGCAGTTGCTGCCGAGCCACCCTGCCGCCGAGCCGCCGAGTCACCGAGCTGCTGAGCTGCAGTTGCTGCTGAGCCGCCTTGCCGCCGAGCCGCCCGAGTCGCCCGAGCCGCCGAGCCGCCGAGCTGCCGAGCCGCTGAGTCGCCGAGCCTACTCTTCCCACCACTGGTGAGCTCTTGCCCTGCTAGCACGCTGCGCGTCGCCTGCTTGCCTGCCTGCCTGCCTTTTGGCTTGCCTGGCTGCCTGCCTCCCTGCTGCTAGTCCTGCTCCTACTTCTACTTGCGGAGCCAAATGCAGCCCCAGCGACGCCGGCGTGAGTCCCTCACGCCCCAGCAGCTGCGTGAGTGGTACGCTGGTTGGGGCTGTAGGGGTGGCGACGCTACTCCTACTACCACTCCTGCTGCTTCTACTCGTGGTGGCGGCCAGATGCAGCTCCCGCGACCCTCTCGCGTGTCTCTCACGCCTCGCCAGCTTCGTGAGTGGTACGCTCAGAGTGGAGGGTCTCTCAGTGCTGTTCGCTGCTCTTACGTGATTCGCACTGGTACTCGGACTGGTCAGCCTTGTGGGACACGTAGTCATACACCGTCCCGCTGCTTCGCCCGTCTGAGCGACGCCTGGCGTACCGTGTTTGGCGACGAGGCTGAGCTTCCCGACTGGGTGGAGTTGCTTAGGCAGAGGGTAGATATATATGCTCTTGACTATGATGCTATTCTCACTGCCATGTATGCATTGCCTACTAGTGCTGACCGTGCCGGTCACCTGTGCGTCCCGCCTGACCCAGGTATAGGACCTGCTGCTCTAGCTACTGGTGAGGCTGCTGCTCTGGGTGCTAGTGAGTCTCCTGCTCCAGGTACAGGTGCGGCTGCTGCTCTAGGTGCTAGTGAGTCTGCTTCCTCAGGTGCGGGTGAGGCTGCGCTCTCAGGTACCGCGTTGGCTTCGGCCTCCCTCACCTTTACACTTGACTCTGGGGCTTCTCGCTCCTTCTTTCGGGACCGCACCACACTCACGCCGCTTGGTCGGCCGGTTGCAGTCTCCCTGGCTGACCCCTCTGGGGGTCCTGTCCTCGCTCACTTCTCCACTGTCCTCCCGTGTCCGGCTGCCCCCTCGGGCACCCTGTCTGGCCTGTACCTCCCCTCGTTCTCGACGAACTTGGTGAGTGGTGCAGACCTACAGGATGCGGGGGTTCACCAGTTCACTCCTGCGAGTCAGCGGGTGACCCACTGCACGGACGCACGCACAGGCCGGCACCTGGCCACGTTCTCGCGTCGGCCGGGGTCGAGCCTCTACACCCTGACCACTGAGTCTCCTCCTGTCCCCGCGTCCGGTCAGGTAGCAGCGTCGGGTCAGGTGTTTGCTGCTGCGTCCAGGTCTGGTCCTGAGTCTGCCCCCTGTACTTGTCGCCTCCTGTCTCACGAGACTCTCCTGTGGCACCACCGTCTTGGCCACCCCTCCTTGCCCCGTCTTCGGAGCATGGCTTCCCGTGTCCTTGTCTCTGGTCTTCCCCAGTCTCTCCCTCCTCTCCCCTCCGGGCCAGGACCTTCCTGTGTCCCCTGTGTCGAGGGTCGCCTCCGGGCTACTCCTCACTCCTCCCACTTCCCCCCGACAGAGGCTCCTCTGCAGACGCTTCACATGGATGTGTGGGGCCCAGCCCCCGTCCGTGGGCAGGATTACGAGCGCTACTTCCTGTTGGTGGTTGACGACTACTCGCGTTACACCACAGTCCTCCCCTTGCGCAGCAAGGGTGAGGTCACTGAGGTGCTGATCGACTGGATCCGCGAGGCTCGTCTCCAGCTCAGGAAGAGCTTCGGCTCGGATTTTCCTGTTCTGCGTCTGCACTCAGACAGAGGCGGAGAGTTCTCCTCTGGCCTTCTGCGTGCCTACTGTCGTGCGCGAGGCATCCGCCAGTCCTTCACGCTTCCGGACTCACCACAGCAAAATGGGATTGCTGAGCGCCGCATTGGCATGGTCATGGATGTCGCTCGTACGTCCATGATGCATGCGGCTGCCCCCCATTTTCTGTGGCCGTTTGCGGTGAGGTACGCGGCGCATCAGCTCAACCTTCACCCCCGGGTCTCTCGGCCTGCGATGTCCCCAGCCTTGCTGTGGACAGGGAAGGTTGGCGATGCGTCTGTGTTCCGTGTCTGGGGATCTCGGGCGTTTGTCCGCGACTTGTCTGCGGACAAGCTGTCCCCTCGTGCTGCTCCCTGTGTCTTCCTTGGCTTCCCCACTGACGCCCCAGGGTGGCAGTTTTACCACCCCTCCTCTCGTCGTGTTCTGTCCTCCCAGGACGTCACGTTCGACGAGTCAGTCCCCTTCTACCGTCTCTTCCCCTACCGCACTCCTTCCCTCCCCCCTCCCCCGGACTTCCTTGTACCGGTTCCCCCCCCCCTCAGGTTCCTGCCCCCTCAGGTGTGTCCCAGGTAGACGCCGTTGACCCGGTCGAGGTTACAGGTGACTCTGGTGCTGCTGCGGGTGCTGAGCCTGGGGGTGCTGACTCTGGGGGTGCTGTGCGCGGGGGTGCTGAGCCTGGGGGTGCTACTGCTGGGGGTACTGGGCCTGCGGGTGCTACTGCGGAGGGTGCGGAGCCTGGGGGTGCTGAGCCTGGAGGTGATGGGTCTGGGGGTGCTGGGTCGGGAGCTGCTGAGCCTGGGGGTGCTGCGTCTGGAGCTGCTGAGCCTGGGGTTTCTCCTGCTGCTGCGTCTCGCCGGGAGCCCCTCTCTCCACAGGAGCTGCGCGAGTGGTTCGCTCGCCGCTGGAGGCGTGCTGCTGAGTCTGGAGGTGCTGCTGGAGCTGGAGCTGGAGCTTCTTCGACCGTCGAGGGTGCGGGTGCTGCCGGTCCCGGAGCTACTGGACCTGCGGGTCCTCCTGGAGCTGGAGCTGCTGAGGGCGTTGGTGCTGAGCCTACTGCTGTTGGTCCTGCCGCTGGAGGTGTGGGTGGCGCTGGTGCTGTCGCTGAGGGTGCTGGTGCTGTCCCTGCTACGTCTGGAGCTGCTGCGCCTGGGGTTTCTCCTGCTGCTGCGTCTCGCCGGGAGCCCCTCTCTCCACAGGAGCTGCGCGAGTGGTACGCTCGCCGCTGGAGGCGTGCTGCTGAGTCTGGAGGTGCTGCTGGAGCTGGAGCTGGAGCTTCTTCGACCGTCGAGGGTGCGGGTGCTGCCGGTCCCGGAGCTGCTGGACCTGCGGGTCCTCCTGGAGCTGGAGGTGCTGAGGACGTTGGTGCTGAGCCTACTGCTGTTGGTCCTGCCGCTGGAGGTGTGGGTGGCGCTGGTGCTGTCGCTGAGGGTGCTGGTGCTGTCCCTGCTGAGTCTGGAGCTGCCGCGCGGCCTCGGCCGTACTTCGTTCCGC